ATGTGAAAAGGTGAGGTTAATTGTCGACTAATTCCTGTAGGAGAATGGGGGGTGTTTAAAATAAGCAAAGAGAGATTTTAGGATCCCATCTATCTAGACAAGAGGAGCAAAGATGTTTGTTAAGGAATGTTAATTGTTGTTTTGCCTTGTAAGTGAAGAGAGGCAGGGGCCAGATCACCTTTTAAGGAAGCAAATAGTTCAGATAGTGCATGGGTTGGAATTCCAAGAGCTGGGTGTAGCCAATTGATGTGCTCTAAAAATTGTTGTAAAGTCATTAATGTGACTGAATCCGATAAATGTAAAGGGGAGTTTTAGGAATTACTTGGGAATAAAGCACCTTAAAACCGAAATAAGAATAAGGATTAGTAGACTGAATCTTGTCAGGTGCCACCACCAATCCTGCAAGTTTTAAATGGGTCATGGAAACTTCTGAACAAACCTGTAGGAGGTTAGTAGATGGTGCTGCTAGCAAAATGTCATCCATATAATGGTATATAAAACGAGGGAAATTGAGCACAAACTGGATGTAAAGCCTTGTCCACAAATAGCTGACACACGGTAGGACTATTCATTATCCCTTGAGGTAAAAAACACCATTGAAAACTTTGTAAGGGTCGACCATTATTAACTTCAGGAACTGAGAAGGTGAATTTTTCTTTATCATCTGGGTGTAAAGGGATTGTGAAAAAAACAATCTCTTAAGTCCACAACCAGGAGATGAAAAGTTGAGGGGATCATGGCTGGCTTAGGGAGGCCTAGTTAAAGTGCCCCCATCGGTTGCATTTGAGCATTAGCTGCCCTTAAATCCTGAATAAGTTGCCATTTTCCCGATTTTTTTGGAACACAGAATGTAGGGGTGTTCCATGGACTGGTGGAGGGTTCAATAGGACCTAAATGTAATTGTTCATTGACTAATAAACGAACTTGAGCCAATTTGTCCCCCCTTAGGGGACACTGTTCCATCCAAACTGGGGACCTGATTTCCTTTTAATTTTGAGTGGAGAAGCGACAGTGGCCGTAGTTAAAAATGGGACTTAACAGAGATGCACCATTGAGATAATGAATCTCGTCCCCACAGAGTAGTAGGAATGGGAAGAATAAATGGGCAAAAGTAAGCCACTCTTCCATCTCGACCAAAGCATTGTAATGAGTGGGAGCTCTGGAGCGGAGAGGTGGAGCCCCCTATTCCTGATAGGGAGTCAGTAGTTGAACAGGTCTGCCAAGTAGGGGGTGTAAAGGGCAGGAATGGAAACAGTGCAGGTTTTCTGATCCCAGGTAGACTGAGTGAAGGAGGAGTCAGAGTCCTCAGTGGTTTTTTTGCAGGTCTTTTATTGGGATTTAGCGGGTACGTGGATTTAGCGGGTACGTGGGAGGCTGGCAGGCCTCCCAGCCCCCAGCAAGTCTTCACTCTGGCCTCTTCGACCTTCTCTCTGCTTTTCTCATGGCTCTGCTTCTCTCTCGGCTTCTGCTGGCGTCCCCGCAACGCCGCCCTTAAAAGCCCAGTCTCAGCCCGGGTGAATCCCATCTACTTATGCCCACACTCTGTTCCAGGTGCCCGCCATCAGGCATGCATTCAGGACAAGGATCCATCATCTATCCTGATGGCGGGAGGGCAGAAAAGCCTGACATTTTTCCTTACCCTACAGTCCACCCCCTCAGGGTTATATTTTCTTAACATAAACAATGCAGCCATGGCCCACAAAAGCAAATACATCACAATATAACAACAAAATACAGCAGAACACAAATAAGTCCAGGCAGGACCCCAACCTAGTGGCAAAAGACAATTATCGGTACCAGCAGATGAGCCACCAAATCTGTTGCTGAAGGCACTGCTCATATGAAGGAGGGGAAATCACTCGACATCTCTGTCACATGCCAGGAGCTGTCAGGCTTCCTGGCCTTCTCTGGCTGTAGTCTCGGCTACAAGCCACACACTGCATCCACCCCCAGGATGCACTCACTCCTGGATTGGGGATTCTCTACTCTTTGGGGGTAATCCCACAACCCTCAGGGTTTCTGTCTGCTGTCGCTCCAACATTCAGCTTTCATAGCCACCAATGCGACACGCAGACCCCTGCACTCAGGCCAACCCACTGCACAAGCACATGGGTCGGGGATCCAAACTCTACATGTGGCCTCTCTTGGGTCCCCTCTTCGGCTTGGGCTCCATCTCAAGCCATGTTCCCCACCCGTCCCCCAAGGACGGGTTCCTCAGCTCCTCACTCTCACTCGAGAACGAGCAGGGCACCACCCACAGGTGATTTTATGAGACTCACTGGCCTGCCTCAGCTTACTTAGTGCTTAACAGCCACTCAGGGCTTCCCAAACTCAGCATCAGCACCAGCTTTTGCCTTCTCAGTTGGCTTTTCTCCTCTGCCTAGCTGCTGGACACATCAGGCTGCTTTTAGCAACTGAGGCCCACTGGCCACACCCAGATTCCCATCTCTGGGACTGTACAAACAATCCTCCCCCAGGGTTCCAAAACAACATTAACTTGCCAAAGTTCCTCCGCCTTCTGGCAGGATTGTCAGTCCAAGTCCATCAGTCCAAGACCGTTGGCCTCTCCCTGCATCAGCACTGGCGAGCTCCAAATCATGGTCCTCTCTTCCCCGATGATTCTTGCTGCCTCAGGGGTCGTTGGCTGGTCCTCTCGGGCGTCTCCTCCTCCAGCTGAGGTCTCGTCCTGTAGCTCCCGGACTGTGTCCACCTTCTGTGCTGCCATGGTGCCTCCAGTGTCGTCACAGGCAAACACAGTCTGTTACTCCTTAGTCCCTCCAGGTCTTTGGAGGACTCCATACCCATCTGCATGGATCATCTTGCTGACTTACGCTAATTGTAGGGGCAGGAATAGACACGGTGCAGGTTTTCTGATCCCATGCAGATGGGGTGAAGGAGGAGTCAGAGTCCTCAGTGGTTTTTTGCAGGTCTTTTATTGGGATTTAGCGGGTACGTGGCAGGCTGGGGTGCTGGGGAGCTGGCAGGCCTCCCAGCCCCCAGCAAGTCTTCACTCTGGCCTCTCCGACCTTCTCTCACATTCTCTCTGCTCTTCTCATGGCTCTGCTTCTCTCTTGGCTTCTGCTGGCGTCCCCGTGACGCCGCCCTTAAAAGCCCAGTCTTAGCCCAGGTGAATCCCATCTACCTAGGCCCACACCCTTCTCCAGGTGCCCGCCATCAGGCATGCATTCAGGACCGCAAGGGTCCATCATCTATCCTGATGGCGGGGGGGCAGAAAAGCCTGACATTTTTCCTTATCCTACAGGGGGCCAGTCTTTTTTAGCTATCATTGGGACATTGGCTCCCATGTCAATGAGACGGGTAAAGGATTTGCCTGAGATAGAAACAGTTAAAGAAGGTCGGTGTAGAGGCAGGAATGGACACAGGGCAGGTTTTCTGATCCCATGCAGACCGGGTAAAGGAGGAATCAGAGTCCTCAGTGGTTTTGCAGGCTTTTATTGGGATTACCAGGTACACGGCAGGCAGGAGTGCTGGGGGGCTGGGAGGCTGGCAGGCCTCCCAGCCCCCAGCAAGTCTTCACTCTATCTGGGCTCTCCGGCCTTCTCTTCTCTCTGCTTCTCTCTGCTTCTCTCTCGGCTTCTCTCTCGGCTTCTCCTGCTGCTGGCATCCCCGCGACGCCACCCTTAAAAAGCACAGTCTCAGCCCAGGTGAATCCCATCTACCTATGCCCACACCCTATTCCAGGTGCCCGCCATCAGGCATGCATTCAGGACCGCAGGATCCATCATCTATCCTGATGGTGGGAGGGCAGAAAAGCCTGACATTTTTCCTTACCCTACAGGCGGGTTATTTGTAACAGCAGTTGCTCAGAAGGCTTGATTTCCAGAGCTGCCGAACCCTCGAGGGCCTCTTTGTTGAGACTGTGAGGTTGGGGCCCAGTATGGCAAAGTAACAACTGTGCAGTGCGAGTATGAGGAGAGATAACAAATTTATGGGCCATAAGCATAATCTTAATTTCTCCCGACTAATCAGAGTCCACTACGCCTGGGAGGACAAATATTCCATCTAAATTTAATGCTTGAACGCCCTAGGATTAGACCTACATAATAACCATGAGGGAGCGGCCCGAAAATCCCAGTGTTACCAAGGCGTACTTCTCCTGAGACATTAAGAATTAATTCATGAGTAAGAGATAAATCCAATCCTGCACTACCTTTAAAGGCTGCATTTAGATCAAAAATTGATTGGTGAGGTTTCCCCCCTGAGGTTGGGGATTTGGAAGGCTGGTCTGAGGCTACATTGTTTGTGATACCCCTGGAGCTTCCATTTGTGACATCCATGCAGGAAGCTGGTTGGGGGTATGTGCTGGAGCCTGATAACTGCCCTGATTTGTTTGAGGGGTGTGCTGGCTTGCGCCCCTCAGCCCATTTCCCAAAAGTGGATGACCATCTTGGGGTGAATTGAGACCTGCAGTAGATTGCCCAATGAAAACCTCACTGACAACGGGGACATATGACTGTGACTGGACAGTTCTGACCTTTGCATAGGAATGCAGAACTGCAGGTAACCATAATGGTGGCTGAGCAGGCCGCTTAAGTCTAGCAGCCGCCCTCTTGGAAGGCATGCTGTGGAGGGTTGAGCTGAAGTGTGGATAGTAGGACCAGATAAACTTTGAGCTTCTAGCCAAACCCAAAATATGTTGATTCTATGACATGTACGGTGTCTTTATTCTAACATAACAAAACATGATGTAACATGATATGAAATAATATGGACAACAAAGCCCCAAATAAGAACTGTGACCACTCAACAGAGAGCCCAGTTTATTAAAAGATACTTGTGCATAATTGTAGGTTCAGTCTGGATTTGGGGACTAAATCTCAAGGGAAAAGTAACAGAAACCTCTTTGTAAGTCATGTGTGCTTAGTAGGAAGAGAACAAATACCAGGATTTTCTCATCTTTCCATGAAGCACTTAGTAGGAATCCAAGAGAATCATTTCTATGACAATGCCCAAACTCTTGCACATTCTCTTTCTTTTAGGATACATGTAGTGAGTTTCGGCGCCTTCTGCAAAATGGAAATCTTTTCTGCACAAGAGAAAATGATCCTGTACGTGGCCCTGATGGCAAGACCCATGGCAACAAGTGTGCCATGTGCAAAGCAATCTTGTGAGTATACAGATGAAACCATCCTGTGGGTTGGCAGACTTGGGTACACAGAGCTGGGAAGACACTAAACTATATTGGTTCTTTCTTACATATAAAAGCAACAAATGATTATCTGTACAACATTTTTAGCTTAAGATTTGTTCATAAAAGCCATGACTCACAGTTCTAGAAATAAATAATATATGACTAAGTGATAAAGTTCTCCATTAGTTTAAGGGTAGATTCTATCAGTAGATCATAATGTCTTTCTTGACAAAACTCTAAATCCTTTGCTGTTGGATGAATCCTTTCACCGGATCATTAGAAAGAAAACACACAAATTTTACTGTCAACTTAACTTCTCTATCTACATTTTTTGAAAATATGTTTTCAAGAAATGAGAAGTCAATATGTATACAAAGGTCGGGAATAGACTTTAAATATATAAGAAATTCAATAACATCTTCCTGTACATCTCCAATATACAATGTCTGTAATGGTTATGCAAAGATGAATATAACAGTCTTCTCAGAAATCATATAGCCCACTAGGGATTAGACTGAGACATAAGTTAGTGTAATACATAGGAGGAATTGCTAAATGAAAAGTGAGGGATGCAATTTGCAATGGTACTTGAGGAAGGACAGAGTTCATAGAAAGTGTAATGGAGAGAGAATTGGATAGTACAAGAAGGACAGTACAAAAAGAGTAGGATGAGTCTAAAATTAAGAAAGCTGTAGTATCTAAAGAGTAAGTCATTTAGTTTATTCTACATTAAGTTTATTCTTAAGTTTATTCTACATACGGTGTGTAGCTGTTCAAATTTTGCTGGTAGGAGATTAAGTGCCATAAATATGTCAACATAAAAAGGAGAAAAAAGAAAAGGAAGGGGCTGAAATTCAGAATGTCTGTGGTGGTAGTGGTGGTTTGCAGTAGTCCCGTGAAAAGTAAGTAGAGCAAAGGAAATGGGACAGGAGGTGAGCGAATGGACACCAGGGTGGTGTGAAGGTGACTCGGTGTCAGGCGGCAGCAGCTTCGAGCTAAGGTGCCAGAGCATTTAAGAGTTAACTCTAGCATTTCGTTCTTTGTGGAAGGTAGAGACTCCAGGAGGATGAGCACTTTTTGGCAGAGAAAAGAAGTGTTTTGGAACTTCTTGAATATGGATTATGTGAGAGATAATCCACATAAGATTGAGACTTAAGATGCACGTTTATGGAATCCTCAGGCCTTGCTCCCTGGGCTTGTGGTTATGTTAATGTCAGGTTTCTCCTACTGCAATGAGAGTTCTCCAAGACCAAAGGGCTCTGCATAATTCACTGTCTTATTTTCAGAGAAAAGGGCCTGTACAGTAGTTCGATAAATGTGGTTGACTTCCATACAAATGTAATTTGGTCGCATATAAGAAACTCATAGAAGTACACGCCACACTCTGTAATCTATTATTCCCCCTCCCCAATTTCCAGCCAGAAAGAAGATGAAGAAAAGAAAAGAAAAGAAGAGGAAGATCAGAGAAATGCCAAGGAGCACGGTGCCAGTGGTGGAGGAGGAGGGAAAGCTCAGGTGTGAACAACCTCTCATTCCCATGACCAGAGAGGGCTCAGTCTTTGACTGTAGGACTGTGGCTCAGCCTGTGCTGAAAGGCGCATGTACAGAGGACTGAGTTTGAAAGTATTTTTGGAAGAGTGCAGGAGATTCCCCTTAAGGTTGTAGGGTGATAGATCAGCAATTTTTAATCTCCCTAGGGAGACTAGAGATTTTTGACTTCTTCAGTCCTAAAGATAATACTTGACAATCTGACTTTATTGCAGTCTCCTGACCCCTCTTTATGATTACCTAGCTCTCCTGCCAGTGATTGATTGGCCATGGGAGAATGAGCATGCGAACATGTCTAACATAGCTCTTCGTTTACTTTAGTAGTTCTCTTTTTCCCTAAATGGGACCACGTTCTCGAATTCTATTTTCTGTTGATCCAAAGCAGCATAATATGGTGAAAGAGAGTAGTTTGGTGTCAGATAGTGTAAGCTACCAACTGGGCTTTCTGTTTTTCCATTTTTTTCTTCTTTAGGAGGTTGAGTTCCCACTCTCAAGTGAGAGACTGTTAATACCCTTTTTCTCTTTTCTCTGTTATTTGCTCAGCCTGTCTTCCTTGATCTTTGTACAGCTTTGTGTTTTCTCCCAGCATTTCTTTCTCCCTTCTATCTACAACAGGGGTCAGCAATTTTTTTTTTTTCTATAAGAGGCTGAATAGCAACTATTGTAGGCATTGTGGGTCGCAGGACCTCTGCATCCACTATTCAGTTCTGCCATTATTGTAGAGAAGCAGTCATAAAAAAATAGCTAAATGAATGAGTGAGCGAACATTTCAAGTTATATCTATATAGATACATCTTTATATGTAAGTATAGGTATCAGGGTAGATGAGTCCTGTTGCTTGTCCTTTGCTTGCCTTTGATCTAAGCTATTAAATCCCAGTCAACTTTATGATCTTCTGGTGTAGAACTGCAAAAGCAACATAATTAACCATGACAACTGACCTCTTAGTACGTGGATGATTCCCGCTCCTCTTTCTCTGTAGATAGCATTTCTAGATGTAGACATTCCTCTTAAGAGGAAGTAGACAAGAGCTTTTCCTATGCTAGCAAACTTAACAATGCAGAAAAGCAATCCAGGAAGCCTGCTGTCTTCTCCCTTTTCAGGACCAATGTGCTGAGTATCGGGAAACTATGAAAAATGGCAAACTCAGCTGTACTCGGGAGAGTGATCCTGTACGTGATGCTGATGGCAAATCGTATAACAATAAGTGCACCATGTGTAAAGAAATACTGTAAGTGCTTCTTTCAACAGGCATGTCTAAAAGAAAAATAAAGCAGAGTTGGGTAACAGAAAGGCAATGGGGGCACTACTTTATTTAGGGTGTCCAGGAAAGGCTTGACATGTGAATGGGACCTGTAAAAAATGAACAATGGGGCTATCTGGAAGAAGAGTTTCAGAGAGGGCAAGAGCCAATGTAAAGGTCTGAATAGAGACCTGAAGTTAGCAAACTCAAGAAACACAAAGGAGGCTACGATATCTCAAGATGATTGCATAAGAATTGCAGAAAAAAGAGTTTGGAAAAATCACTTAAGGGATTTTAGGCCAAAATAAGGATATTGAGTTTTATTCTATATATGATCAGAGGCCACTGGAGGTTTGTTAATAGAACTGTGACTATACCTAAAATTCCACATCATTCTAGACCCTCTTTCCACAGGTTAAGTTGATTGAAATTTCAAGACTTCATATTTGCTTGCATTTTCAGGTTATGTTTTTTACCACTTAGGCTACTTCTCATGTGCTCAAAGGGAATTATTCAAAAGAAATAAAAACGAAATCCGTGAATGTGAATTCAGTGATTAGACTTGTTACTTGTGGGTTTTTTGTCATTAATAATTAATAATGACATGAATGCCACAATGTAATAAATAATATGGGAGATATTAAAGAAAAAATATACATATATATTGATTTTTTATGCAAAACCAAGTAAAACTTTGCAGGAGAACATGTACTAGAGTTTAGTAGTATTTGGAACTTGGGCCAACTGCATCAGAATCATCTGATTTGCTTCTCAAAAATCAAGTCACCAAGTCCCCAATCCAGATATTGTCAATAAAAAATATCAGAAAACTTAGGGAAAGGTAAGAGGTTAAAATCTAAGGAACATTCTAGATTATTCTTCTTGTTTTTCACTTTGAGATCTATAGTTTAAGAAATAATCTTATAATGGGTTGATCTACAAATCAAAAGACTAGAGTGGTGAGTTTGGAGTAATTACAAACACAACGAGTGATGAAAATATGAAAGCGCTAAGGAAGCTGGGCCTGGCGACCGAAAGTTTGCCTTGAAATATCTGAAGGATTAATATCAGGACTTCAGCAGGCTTGTTCTGTGTGGTCCTGAGAACTAAGAACTAAGGGATGCAAGTTATCCACAGATACATTTGGACAGAAATAAAAGAAACTTTGCAATTGTTTGAGTTGCTCTCCCTAGAAAAGCTATCTTGGCATGTGGGAGCCTCTTCTTACAGAGCAGAGAGAGGGTCTGTGTGAAGGAGGTTTGGAATACATAACTCTGTGGCTCCTTCCAAGCCTGAGTTTGTGCTAACAAGATGACTCTTGACTGTTCTTCTAGACAAAAAGAGCAAGAGGAAAAAAACAAGCATTCTGGCAGTAGATCAAATAGGACTGAATCAGCATCGAGAAAGGTAATTTATTAACTGGGTTGTTCAGAATGGTCTTTGTATAAATCAGCACTGGCTATCAAAAATATAGAAAGGGGTGAACATGTGGCCAACCAAGATCTTGCCCTTGGAAGGTCAGAAGCCAACATTAATGTGAGCATCACAATGTCACTAGTAACTTGCTCAGTGTAGAAATTCATTGAATCTGAACACTCCAACACGTTTTCTATAGTTTACTTAATTCTCTCAAGTGAGTTTGGCCAAATAATTTTTTTTAACCATATTCATAGACAGGAACAATGAGGTCCAGCAGCTGGAAGAAATTACAACTTTTAGTGGCTTAAAATAACATACATTCAGTCTATACATTTCTGGAGGTGGGATATCACTGCATTAAGACCAAGCTGTCCGTAGGGCTGTGTTCCTTTTTGAGGTGCTGGGGGAGGACCTGTTTCTTTGCTTTTCCTAACTGCTAGAGCCTGCCTATATCCCCTGTCTTGTGGCTGTCTTGAGAACCAGCAGTGGTCAGTAGAATCTTTTTCAAGCTGCATCCCTCTGACACTGACCGCTACCCCCCCCACCTCCCTCTTTCACTCATAAGGACCCCATACCACCCAGACAGTTCAGGGAAATCTCTCCATTTTAAAGAGTGCTTATTAGCAATCTTAACTCCATTCTACCTTAATTCCTGCTTCTTGTAAGGCAACACACTCACAGATTCCAGGAATTAGGACCTGTTGGTCTTACTGCCTGCCACAGCAGAGTTTTGGCTGCCTGGCTCCGGAGTCAAAATGTTCACATTGCAAATATGATCAAAATCTGTCAAAAAAGTCATTTCTAATATAACCTTTCCCTATTTTCAGGATGAATGTGATGAGTTTAGATCTCAAATGAAAAATGGACAACTCATCTGCACCAGGGAAAGTGACCCTGTCCGGGGTCCGAATGGCAAGACACATGGCAATAAGTGTGCTTTGTGTAAAGAAAAATTGTGAGTATTGTTTTTTAAAAACTGGACCTGAAATTGTGGGTCTTACAGTCTAATAATCATTTCTCATCAGTCTGAGAAAATCACAGTTTTTTAAAAGCAGATTTTGTAATTAGTAAAGACTTTATTTACTTTGGCTAAAATGTTTCTGTTTGTACTTCCAGGGAACGGGAAGCAGCTGAAAAAAAAAAGAAAGAGGAAGACTCAAGACACACAGGAGATAAGAGCAATGTAATATATGTTATACATGTTAAGTGTTATACTTAAGTGTAGGTGACTGATTGTATGGTCAAATTAGTCACCAAACATTTATAGATATAGAAGCCCACTCTGTCCAGTCATTATAGTAAACAAGAAAGATATGGCCAGATCTTTCAAGAAAATATCATGCTATTTGGAGCAACTTTGAAGCAATTTTCACATATTAGTAAGACCAGTAACAACTGTCAAGTTGTTGTTATCAAGTGAATTTCTTTTCTGAAGTTTTAAAACAGTCAAGCAAATAGATCTAAAATCGCAGGTAAGAAAGCAAATATGAAAAACTTGGAGCTCCAGATGATAAACTCTTGGCATTCCAGTGCCATCTTGTGTTCAGTTTTAGACTTTGAAAATGCTTAACAACTCCAACACATGGAAAAATGACACAGGGCAGTCTCTTCTAATCCATCTGTGAATGCCAATCAGAAAAGCAAAGTAGTGAAATTTCCCCTGGAAGGTTTTCCTATTAATGAGGCAACTTTTTGCTAGGTCCAAACTGACCAAACAAAATGAAACACTACGCTAAGCATCATTAAAAAAAATATGTTGGGGATATCTTTACACATTTTGGTAGGTGAGTGACTTTGAGAAAAGGCTATTTTAGTCTTCGAAGCTTCAAATGACTGCTACTGACAATCTATTCTATTTTATCTCAGATATTTTACCTTTTCTTAATATCTAGTTTATTTCAAATAAAAAATTTCTAGATATTTCAAATTAAAAAATACTCTCAAACATATATATAATATCCAGGTTCTTTTTTGGAGGGGTTGGGGGTTGGGGATAAAAAGGAGCTGTGGTTTTATCTGTACACACAAAGAAAAATAAGTTTTACAAAGCACATGCAGCATCAGAATTAAACTTCCCCCAAATCTATATAATTGTTGAGACTTTCCAATTTTACAATTGAGAAAAACTCAGAAATTAACTACACACATAGAAATAGAAGAGCCAGAGCTTGCACCCACACATTTTGGGTGGTTTATAGGTGATGGGTGTTGCCATAAACATGTCCGTACATGGTATTTTGAGAGCCAGGAAAAGAAAATCTAGTAACTTCTAAAAATGATGGCTGTGTGATATTTAATATGTTGGCAGGTAGTCAGCTCCAAAGCCATTTCAAAATGCTGCAAATAAAGTAAGTCTAGAGATGTTTATGGGTATCCCAGGGCAAAGAAAGGAGAACCACAATCCAGGTCACTAGCAGTATTTTTTTAAGATCATGTTCCTATGTCTCTACTTTGGCTCCTTGAGCTCAAAGGAAGCTCAAGACAAATTTCTGTAGCTGTCAAAAAATTTCAAGAGAGGTCAGATCCTGAGGACTTATTTCCATTGGCTTCTCTTTAAGGTTCTTATTTGCAAAAACTGAACAAAAAAGGCAAGTCTGTCTTCTTCAATAGGCAGAGTTTTACTCTCTGCCAGGTAAACGCCAAGAAGAAAAGCAGCAGAGCCTGGTAGTTAACAGGTCTCTGATCACAAATTCCACTGTAATTACTGATTTTTTTTTCATTAGGACAAAGTGTTTTTCTGGGGTCATGGATATCTTTTGATGACAACTAAAGGAAAGTCACCAGAGCAACACAACAATGTGTGTGTAATACAGATGTGATGAATTCTGTTCAGCCTTTAATGAGGAGCAAAGTTAAATGTTTACATGTTTATATGTGTTGCCAAAAGAATGCTTTTTAGTTCATTCCAGGACGTTTTGTGTGTACTGTAGTAATGAATATAGCTCAACCTACTAGAGAAAACTGTATTAAAATGGTAATGGCTTCCCCAGGTGTTAGTGAAATTTCAATGGGACAAATTCTTCATTTGGGATGCTATGGAGAGACTGGAGAAAGTGCTTTAAAACACAATCCACTGCTATTAATAAAATGTTCTTTCTCTAGGTCTTATTTCCATTCAAGTGCTATGAGTTTATATTTAACTACTGATCTTGTGTTTAGTTTTAAAAATCATATTGCCAAAGTAACATTTTTTTTTTTTCCCTCCTAATGGCAGGATCAGTGTCATGAATTCCGGAGCTTGGTGAGAGAGGGAAAGCTTATCTGCACTAGAGAAAATAATCCGATTCGGGGTCCATATGGCAAGATGCACGTCAACAAGTGTGCCATGTGTCAGAGCATCTTGTACGTGAAGGACTTTATTGATCAGTGTGATGTGTGATACCAGTTTGCCAGAAAATAGCACCTCTTAATTGAACACTTAAAATGCTCAGTGTCTTACTTTAAATATACCATAATAGTTCCTCACTTCAGAAGAGGACAGGACATTTCCAAAGCACTTCCACAAGAAATTGTTATTTCGATGATAAGAAACATAGTCACAGCTGGAGCATCTGGGATGGGAAGACAGCTGCTGATAGGAACCAAATTGTTGGCTTTCAAAGAGCAAGATTAGTAGCTAGTACCTGGTTTGCAAACCCACAGTCCTGCCATAGACTGCATAAAGGGAATGAGGCAGCGCCATACAGTTCTGTGGGTTTTCAAAGGGATTTTTTTTTTAATGTTTGCGTACCATAAAGCCCTATAACTATTCAAAGGGCAGCCAGAACTGGAGAATTCAGTTGTCATTTTATAAGAAAAGGAAAAATGAGGCAACTGCATCAGAGATCCATAAATATATTGAGGGAAAAGTAATGATCCTATCATCCTGAATAATGGTATAGTAACTGAACTTATTAAAATTGATTGGCATTGCCACAAATATATCTTGTTAGATTTGCTGATGTTTAGGATTGCAGAGATATTTGGTTAATAATAGCCCTGGGAAAACTACCCCCCCCCCTTTTTTTTTTCAATTCTGCAGTGAACGAGAAGCTAATGAAAGAAAAAAGAATGAAGAAGGAACATCAAGTGCCAGGCCCTCAAATGATGCAAAGGTTATTTCCTAAAAGATACCGAGATAACTGCTTTACCTTTCATCCTCAGAATCTTGCATTCTCCTTCAGTTTGGGAATAATTAACATGCTTTTGCTTCAAATAAAATTGATTTTACCGATATTGTCACTTTGGGTTGTAATAGGATTTCCATTTTGGCTTTGAAGTTTAATGGTTTTCTCACTTTTATGGAGAAATATGTGCACAATGTGTGTCAATTATTATTTCAGTCTCTCCTCTTTGGGAGAAATATTGATTGAAAATACCTCAACTGCCTGCTATCTCTGTCACCTTAAATGGGAAAGTGATTTTAAACAGTTAATATGAACCAATCAGTCTCCCCTCTAGCTTCCTTCCCTGATTTTCTCAGCTTCAATGAATCAGTAGTGTGCATGGGTGGGCTGCCTTTTCTATTTACCTTTCAACACTGCAGAGACGATGTCTTCCTACTTCTCCCTGCCCCCCAACCCTTAGCAGTGATAATCCCCTCTGTAGGGTTAGCTTTCAGGGAGACTGTCCTTTGGTCAAAAGTACACCTTGTATGGAGAAGGGGGAAGGGCAGACGGGAAGGAAAGGATCAGGGAGACCAGGTGGTGTCTCCAGTGTTGTTTTATCTCCCTGCCTTTCCAGGACCAGTGCAGAGAGGCCCGGAACCTGGCGGAGGACGAGAAGGTTAGACAGTCTAAGCGTTCCTTGGCCTCCATCACCAGCATTAGTCCAGTGAGTCTGAGCCCAGTGGCAGGCTTCCTAAGGCCAAGTTTGGGAAAACCACCAAGTCAAGAAGGGAAAAGCCATGTTCACGCCTCCTTTCCCACTTTCTAGGATGAGTGCAGTAGCTTCCGGGCATCCATGAAGAATAATGAGCTGCTGTGCACTCGCGAGAATGACCCGTTGCGGGGAGCAGACGGAAAGCTGTACAAAAACAAGTGCTACATGTGCAGAGCTGCCTTGTGAGTTGAGAGGCGCTTGCATGATGCCACTACATGGAACATGGTCAAAAAGGCAGCTTCCCCGAGAAACTGTATTTTCATGGAAGTAACACGATTTCAGTTTCAGGAGCACATCATACTAAGTCCACATGGGTAACTATGGAAGTTCACCGCCAAAACCCTAACTCTGTCCTTTACCATACAGTTGACCCTGCTTTTGAGGCAGTGTTGGTTCACCACACTTCATAAGTTCTAAGTGCTATGACAGAAACCAAGCAGAACTCTAGAATGTTACTGAAATATTGGTGAAATTTGAACAAGCTCTACACTTTAGTTAATAATATTGTAACAAGGTTAATTTGTCTGTGGGTGATCTTTGTGCTATGACTCTTAAGTTATTAGCATGAGGGAAAGTGGGTAAGGGAAGAGGGACCAAAAAAAATCCTGTTTTTGCAACTTAAAAAATGGAAGAGGATCCTGTTCCCCCTTCAGCTGGCAGGGGAACTGCATTTTCAGAAACTTCTGATTAAATAAACGTGTGCTTCTGAATCCTTGGGATACTTAAATTTTACAGTCAAGACCCTTAAATTGAGAACCCCTGATGTAGATGAACTTAGACTTGGAAAATCCAGATGTAAATTCTAATTATGATAATTACTAGCTTTGTAGTAAACTTATTTTTTTCAACGCTCAAGATCAGATCTCTAGAACAGGTCCCTATTCTACAACCTGATCAGCTATCTTTAAGGAAAAAAATCAGAGTTTTGTATCCTGTAAAGGCAGAAACGGACACAGTGCAGGTTTTCTGATCCAGCAGACCGGGTAAAGGAGGAGTCAGAGTTCTCAGTGGGTTTTTGCAGGTCTTTTATTGGGGTTCACCAGGCATATGGCAGGCAGGGGTGCTGGGGGGCCAGGAGGCTGGCAGGCCTCCCGGCCCCCAGCACATCTTCACTCTATCTGGGCTCTCTGGCCTTCTCTCGTGGCCTCTGCTTCTCTGCTGTCACTTGGTCTCCTTCTGGTGTTCCGTTCCACTGGCATCCCCATGACGCCGCCCTTATAAGCCAAGTCTCAGCCCAGGTGTACTCATCTACATAGGCCCACACCCTACTCCAGGTGCCCGCCATCAGGCATGCATTCAGGACCACAGGGATTCATCATTAATCCTAATGGTGGAAGGGCAGAAAAGCCTGACAATCATTTACCCTACAAAGTCTAATGAACATCATGATGATGATTGTGAAAAGCTCTGTGAACACAATAGTCAGGTTTTTTTTTTCCTTCTCATGAAATATTTCAGTGAGCTAGGAATTACCATCTTTGTCTGTTGTGAGAAATCTGGTTTCAAGGACTTTAAGCAACTTGATCAAGGTCACACATCTGTTAAGTGATGAGAACTTTACACCAACTCCCCCTTATGTACATTTATTTGACACTATGCTGGACGCTCTATGATTGAACCTTCCGTGATTCCATTATCTGGATTATAATTGCTTAATTTCCCCCGGGAATTTATAGAGAATATAACTTTAAATTACTTTTTGTTGTCTTCTCTAGTCAAAAAGAAGCCAGTGAAAAGCTATCCCACCCTAGGTCTTCTGAAGAGGAAATCAGCCCAGGTGCCCCCAATTCTGTGGTAAGAATGATGAATTGTGAGGAGCTACTTGTTTATTGAATTTGCTTACTTTGGGGCCTGTTGCCTCTTACCCCACCATGAAAATCATTTCCATGGAAACTTGTAGGTCCTGTGAGGATTAAGTGGAGTTCATGCCTAGCAAGAGTTCTTTGACTAGGATTATCCTGTGCTCTGAGATTACAATTTTATGTAAAAGTATACTTTTGAAATTTTCAAAAGTGAGTATATAATTAACGTGACATCTCATATGTAGTTAAATAAGTAGTTGGGGACCTCAATTCTGTGATTTCAGTAGACAAAAGAGGCTCCATATCCAACTTCCTTCACTTGCCCTCCCAAACCAGATTCTTTTGCCAACAGCATGGAACACTACGCCAAGCACGTTCACCCATGTGAGTTTCCAACAAACAGCGATTCACAGTAGTAAAACCTTTTTGTTTAAAATACAGACTGGCAATCATCAGTAATTTTATCTCAGTGTAAATTAACCTAATCGAATAATTCTTTTAGAGCTTTGGCAAGGCGAGGAGCAGCAAGGAGGAAAGGAGATGTGAGAACATGAAATAAATTCATGAGGTAGAATCTCAGATTAGACACGAAGAGAGAAAATTTCAGCATCTAGTCTGATGACCCAGAAAAGAAGAAAGGTATCAAACAGGAATTTTACCTAATTATTACCCAATTCAAATAGGATAAGTTGCATTAGTGAAATATGTGCTAATTACATACTTTGGTCATTTAGGCGCTCACTACTCTAGGAACCCCTAAACATGGGAAAGTGCTACTCACAAATCTTCTTTTTCTCACCTCAGCTTTATTGAGATATTTCTGATATAAAACATTGCATTAAGGTGTACAGTGTACTGATTTGATACCCTTAAATATGGCAAAATGATAATTAAAGTAGGGTTAGCTAGCACTTCCTCGCCTTATATAATTATCACTTCTTTGTGTGTGTGTGTGTGCTGAGAACATTTAAGATCTACTCATTTAGTAAATTTCCAGTACAGTATTACTATCACTATGCTGTGCATTACATCCTCATAACTTATTTTATAAGTGAAAGTGACAAAAATCTCCTAATTTTCCCCAGTCCCACCCCTGGTAACCATGATTCTCTTCTCTTAACTTTTTTAGATTGTCCATATCAGTGATACCACACAGTATATATATATTTTTTTTTGTGGGCCCCTCACTGGTGGCGGGGGATTGAGCCGACGCTGCAGAGGCCGCAGGCAGCCTCGCAACCCAGCGTTCAACTGCTGCGCCACCAGGGAGGCCCCACACAGTATATATTTTTATGTCTTATTTCACTTAGCATAATGTCCTCAAGGCATTATCCAGGTAGTCACACAGGACAATACTTCCTTCTTAATTGTGGCTAAATAGTGTTCCATTGCACAAAATGTCCAATATTCCAGTGAATAGAATATATTCTATTCTACATATAGAATATATATATATATATATATATCACATCTTCTTTATCCATTCATCCATTGATGGGCACAGGTTGTTTTCATATCTTGGCTTTTATGAATAGTAAATTTTGTTTTAAAAAAATTTTCCTGAAATTTAAGTCATGTAGAAAGTACACATATCATCATTGCATAACAAAATAAAATGTCACCAAGTGGTCACACCAGTGATATTACGCCTAAGTAAAGAAAGCAAATATTGCCAGCAAACTAGAAATTCCATCATGCTTCCTCCTGTACCATCTGGCTTTGAGGTGAGCTTTTTCTTGCATCAGAGAACTACATTCACAATTCAGCCTGTCATCCATTTATTCATTGTACAAATATTTACTGAGCACTTACTATTTTCCAGGCATTATTTATGTGTATGAGAACAATTGCCACAAACAAAACAGACAGAACCCTACGCTCCGTATTTCTGAGAAGGTGACTTTTGCTCCTAGGCCTAAAAGGAAGGCATCAAAGGAATCAGAGTCCAGTGTAGTTGAGGCAGAGTGACCTTAGAACTAGAGAGAAGGAAGTCATTAAATAAGGCCATGTTATGTAGGATTTTGTAGACCTACGTAACATAGACTATAACATTTTGTAGACCTACATAACATAAAGATTTTGACTATAATTCTGATGAGGGTTTGGAAAAGGGTGGCATGATCTGATATATGTTTTAAAAGAATAACTCTGCCTGCTGTACTGAAAATAGATGGCGGGGAGACAAGAGCAAAAGTGAGATAGCCTGTTAGCAGTAGCAGTGAGCCACAGATGAGAGGATGCGAGTTCATACAATGGTGGTAGCGGTGGAGGTAGTGCGACATGGCTGGGTACTGGGTCTGTTTTAAAGTCAACAGAATTTATTCAGAGTTAATGCACTACTTGAGAAAAAGAAAGGAGTGCCCTGTGTTTGCAAAGTAGTCACCCATGGCTGAGCTCTCACACTCACCCAACCATAGTCTTCGCCTGGGTCCCGGCAGCTTTCCTGCAGCCCCCACAGCAGTGGAGGCGCTGCACACACTGACAGTGCACATGGAAACTGCCTCGGTGCCATCTATGTATTTTCCATCATTTTACTTTCAACTTATTTGAGATATAAAGATTCATTTAAAGTACACTAATTATAAACATTATATAGTTGAGTCTTTTGTTTTTTCATTCTGATATTAACTGGAGTACTTTATCTTATTACTATTTAATGTAATTATTGACACCATTGATTTCAAGTCTTCCATAATACCATTTAAAATTTTTCTCTGTTTTCCTTGGGTTCTTCCTTTTTTTCTTTTTTAAAGATTATTTATACATATAAGAACTGGGGTATAGGCCAGAGGTGTGGGGGTGAGAGGATTCACCAGAGAGAGAGTGGGGAACAGATCAGGCAAATTGACTGAAGTACATTGCTGAGGCGAGCAGTGGGCGAGTCAGGAGAGGTCTGATGCGCCATGTGGGTTGCTCACTGGCCAGCTGGGGAATCGAACTCATGCTGCAGTGGCTGTGGATAGCTTCGTAGGTTGCATCTTAACCGCTTATGCCACCAGGGAGGCCTTGGTTCTACCTTTTATGGTCATTAAAGTTGTGTTTGTCGCAATTGAATTCACAGTTCAAGAAGACTGCAAAGAGCAAATATGTTCCTCCTTCTACATGAAAAAATACACATATTTCTACCTTGAGAAACATACTGACAACTGATATTTTACTGAACACTTAGTATGATACAACCATTTAAATGTGTTACCTGGTTTGATCCCCTAAAACAACTACATGAGGCAAAAGCTATTATTCATATTTTTCAGGTGCGAAAACCAAGGCTGAGAAGTTAGGTAAATTGCCCCTCTGGTTGACACACTCTGGGGGCGGGGGAGGAAAGGGGAGAGGAAGGACTAGGGTCATAATAAGGGGGGGGTGCAATTGTATGGGGAATATAACCAAAATGAAAATGCATATATTGTGCAAAAATGAAAAATGATGTAAGAATTATATAAAATATTAATAAAAAAATCACCCCTCTGGTTATGAGCAGAGCTGGGACTCAAAAATCCATGCATTAAATTGGTTTTTACCTCTGAGTCTAAGCTTTCTAGATTGTATATAGACAATGACTTCTTTTTTTTTTTAAGGTTCTCTCTGTTTTATTTTATTAATTAGTTAACTTATTTTCTTACATCTTTGTTAATTTTTGGATAGTATTTGATTTCTTACATGACTACCATCCTAGTATTCTCCCTATAGGCACTCCTTAGTTTATCTACGCCCAGTATCATGTAAGCCTTCCACTTTCTTTTGCTTTGTTCTCTCTTGTTTTAACTACATCTATTTCTTAGCAAAAGAAGGACAAATCCAAGAGTTCAGTCTAACTAATGATGGCGTGAAATACACAAATGCGTATGAGTTAAATTACAGTTCCTTTATTAGTCATTTTTTAAATGTGAGTGAGAAAATCAAAAGATTCCCAAGTCCATCCTTCTTGAGGGCCAGCGAGGAAATTTGACTTATATTTTGCTTGTTCCAGGACTCTGATATGTGCAAAGGCTACCGAATATTGCCCAAGATGGGTTACCTTTGCCCAAAGAATTTAGATTATGTCTGTGGTGAAGATGGCCAAACATACAGCAATCCCTGCTTGCTTTGTCATGAAAACCTGTAAGTATGCAAGTTGCATCATTATATCTCCCAGTGTAAACATGCTTGATTACCATGTTGATCCACAGGAAAGTACTGCTAACAATTTCAACTTCATTACAACCAATGTATTAATCAGAGCAGTTAAAAATTCATATTTTGAATGGTCTTGACTATATGTGTGTGTGTGTGTGTGTATAGAGAGAACTAGAGAGGAGGCAATTATATATACATAATTATATATATATATATAACAGAAGGCAATTAAGGTATTTTGATTAATGAAATTGCTTATACACTTTACTAAGTGGATGAGAAAAGAAATTGTGCTGGAGTTGCAACAGTGGGAGAAAGTCTTTTTGAACCCATGTTCATCCCTGGCAGTGTGAGAGTCATCATTCCAGTATGTAAGAAAAATGTTGAGAATAATGGCTATATAGTCAGTGAAGCCTATAATTTCTAATGGGCCTGTGGCTACCTGATCATCACAGATTTCCCTTCCTCCCTAAATTCCTTCTTGGAGCAGGTATTGATGTCATGCAAAAGAGAGCACACTTTTTTTTTTTTCAAATATTTATTTATTTATACAAGCACTGGGTACAGTCAGAAGCGCAGGAGGGTGAGAGAATTCACCAGAGCCAGAGCAGAGAACAGAATAGGCATGGGCCTCCCTGGTGGTGCAAGGGGTTAAGAACCGCACTATGAAGCTATCCGCGGTCACTGCAGCACGAGTTCGAGCCCCCACCAGGGAGATACCCACATGGCGCAGCAGACCTCTCCTGACTCGCCCGCTGCTCCCCTCAGCAGTGTATTTCAGTCATTCTGCCTGTTCTGTTCCCCACTGTGTCTCTTGTAAATCCTCTCACCCCATGCGTCTCTGGCCTGTATCCCAGCTCTTGTATGCATAAATAAATCTTTTAAAAAAAAAAAAAAGAATAGGCAGACGATGAAATACATTACTGAGGGGAGCAGCGGGCGCGGCAGGAGAGGTCTGTCGCACCATGTTTGACCCTCGCCGGCAGCCAGGGATCGAAACCCTGCACTGCAGAGGCTGTGGGCAGCTTTGCAGCACAGCGCTCAACCGCTGCGCCACCAGAGGAGGCCCAAGAGAGCACATTTGTGTTTTGTTCTGGAGCAGACAATAGATCTGAGGGCTCACTGTCTGTGCATCCGTGAGTATATCCATCATTCTGAGGTTCTGCTTCATCTTTGAAAAGTAGAGACAGTTCTCTGAATCAACTGATTTCACAGGGTTTTTCAGAAGCATTATTATATTTATTTTAAGGTAAATACGAGGAATTCACCTTAATACTTTTGTTATTGCTTGTAGCTTTGTTGCTGCTTTTCTGCTCAAATGCTAACTCATCTATATACATTCCCCACATTTTCCCAGCTGACATGTGACCAGCCTTAAATGACAGCATGATGGCAAAGCTTGACTTTTCAACCCAGCCTGTCCTACTCCAGACTTACACTGCCCTCCGTGTGTCTCTCTTCTTCTTAGGACATGAGAAGCAAGGCCCAGAGTGTGAGGATGGGCCTGATATCCTGCTTCCCAATTCTGGAAAAGATAATCGAATTTACATGCATTTCCTTTTCAATCAAATAACTCATAAATGAAAAAAAAAAAAAAAAAAAACAACTCCACAGTCCCTGAACTTAGAATTAAACTTGACTATGAGAGCTTTATATTCTCTGATTTGTGGGGAAGGCACTTTCTTATTCACCTCTCACTGAATCCTCACCACCTGCTGTGGGAATGCCTCTGTCTTCATTGTAGACAGGGTGGATCTGAGTTTCAGAAAGTCCAGGTAATTTGTTAAAAAACACAAAATTAGGAAGTAGGTCAGAAAGGACTTTAATCTTGTTGAATATGAGATATAATTTTATTTCCTTCCTATTACATAGCTGTTGCATCCAAGCAATAATTTCATAAACACTTGGAGATCAAAGAGGCCACTGATACTATGGAGAAAAATACTTCTCTTCACAAAATGATGTAACATTAACAGTTTTTATGCATATTATGTGGGCACAAATCCGGGACTTTTATTTTTATATATGCCTTATCTTCCAGCCCAGAAATCCTTCAACTTTTCTTTTTCATAAATGCCAGGGTCTACATTATCTTTTCAGTATTCTTTATGCATCTCATTAACTGTATAAACCCATAACAAGTGATCCACTCTACTCAAGGGGGATGTGAGAGTCAGAAACTGAGGCGATGATGAAAATATTAATTAAGCATGCCTCTGCTGGATTGTTTGGCTTAAAGGAACTGGGAGTTTATAATGTAGAGAGAAGAGTCAGCCTAGTCTAGGTAAGAAGGACCAGGATTGGTTTCTGTGGTCTTAGAGGAAACTACAGGACAGCATTTCAACTTGAGAAATGTTCAAAGACACAATGGTGTGTTTGGCAGACAGTGTGCTTCCCATCACTAGAGATGAACAAGTAAATGTTTGGTAGACAATATTAATTAAGGATAAGGAATTAAAATTCACATACTTTATGATTCTTTCCAAGAATGTTCCTGTAAAACTCAGACTGTATGATTGTGTCTTCTTATATATTTAAAATTATTTAATATATATAGAACCCAACTTATATCTATAGAAGCAATATTCTCTTGTGTTTTTTCTATATATAATGTAGATTTCTACATCTAATATATCTTATAATCCCCACATCACATCATTAGGCACTCAATAATGTCAAACTCCTCTCTGAGATCCTACATCCCTCTCTACAAATAATGGCTTTTGGATTAGGTGATCTCCAACTCTGTTTCCAACATCCAGCAATTCAGTGGATATATAGATGAATGAGATGTGATGCATACATGCAGGCCTGGGAAACATATCTGGAGGCAAATCGGAAGAGAGAGACTAAATCTGGATGCTACCCACTGCAAAATAGTTGAATACGAGTACCAGGGCCTCCCCTAACTTCAGCTTTGGTTTATGGCCTAATGTCACCCAATTAATCCTTGGGATATTTCTTATTATAATGACAGTTTTCCCATCTTTGAAGCATCATCTGTTCTGTTTTAGGCTACACCAAACTGACATACGCATACGCAGTAAAGGGCAATGTGTGGAGACCAGCACCAAGGTAAGGACGTCTGTCAGCAAGCCAGTATCTGTGAGTATCATGGTGTTCGCATGAAAGTGTTACAACCAGGGCCTCCCTGGTGGCCAAGGAGCTAGGTCTCAGCGTTATCACTGGTGTGGCCTGAGTTCGATCGCCAGCCAGGGAGCTAACCCATATGGCATAGCATACTCTCCTGTCTCTCCCGCTGTTCCCCTCAGCAGTGTATTTCAGTAGATCCACCTGTTCTGCTCCGCACTCTGTCTCTGGTGAAGCCTCTCACCTCCCATACCTCAGGCCTACACCTTAGTTATTCTACACACAAAATAAAAACAACAAAAAGAGAGAAATTATTATGGTCAGTTGGTCCTGTTTCTGTTTTCTTGTACTGGATGATGGACATCCCTCTGGCGAGGGAAGTGATAGAAGATCAGGTAAACCCAGAAATGGTCACATATTCATTGTGAATACAAGTAATTGCTGAACGAGGTGGGAATAGCAATAGAGTAGTGAATGCAATGGGTCGTGCTTACTGGAATCATTAATAGATGTTGATGAGCAGTGTACCTCATCTAACACATTTGCAGAGTGGGTTTTACTTTCTGGGATCTACAATAAAAAGATGAAGCAGAGACCAAGAGAGGTCACACTGCAACAGAACTAGGCTTCAACCATTTCTGTATAACCTCCATATCCTTGCACTTTTCATTGCATTAAATTGTCTGCCAGCGTGGAAAGCTGACCTTTCCTTTAAATCCCTACCAGGAAGTTTTGACACACATTATTGAGTTTGGCATTCTCCCTGGTGATTGCATTTGCCATATATCTTCCATAGGCAAGATAATATGTAATTTGGTGAAGAACTTTAGAATTTTCAAATAAGAGAAAATGTTTTGTTACCAGATAAATATAGGTTCAAGCTTCAGTTTTTGATAGTCTTCACATAAGAGACCTTTGGCAAACCACAATCTAAGTATCTAAACCAACGTCTCACCAAGCTATTGAAAGATATATAATAAGCACGGACTTTTAAGTATTTTGGATCAGTATCTAAAAATGAATGACATTTATTATTATTATCACCACTATCATGACTATGCTTGAGACCAAAATATGAACTTAGAGAAACAGACCTTGGCATATGCTTATTTAATTTTAATGACTGCATTAATTACATTTTAATAAGTTTGTAGTTGATGTTTAGCAAATATATTTGTTCTTAATTAAGCAAACTATGTTTGGTAAATTCTATTTACTAAATAATAACTATTAGTCACAACTTTTTACTTCCATTCCACTGTCACAAAAAGCTTTGGCAGTTATGGAATTGGAAACTATTCTGCTACATTTAGGGATTTTAAGCAAGCTCTAGATGAGACCATATTCAAAACAACTACTTAGTATAGTGAGCCCTTGATAGAGAGAACTGGAAAACAAGAGCTTTGAGCTAAGTGTTTCTGCTTCCTCACTAGCAGCTGGAAGGCAGGGTGGAGCAGGCAGAGTTCTGGGCTGAAATCACTTCTTTTTCTTCTGGACAGGATCAAATCATCTATTTGCTCTTGGTCTCTACACATCTGTAAAGAGAGGGTTTAAACTTTGCCTCTAGTCCCCTTTTGTGTTTGCTATCTTACATATAAATTCTTGGTGATTTGCTCCTCATTTTATCAACAGGATATACTGTTCCCCTATTTCACAAACACACCTGGTTACATGTATTTCAGAACAGGAAGGCAAAAATAATCTGGATGCAAATTCAATGAAACACTCCTTAGACTAACTTGACAAAAACTACTTTAAGAGGAGCTTGACATAAGATTACACTGATAAGATGTATTTAATGAAATAATAAGAAGTCTTTCCAGGGTTAAGCAGGAAAGCTTTTATACAGGAGTACCTTTCATTTGGGTGTTTTCGTTCCACTAATGTTATATAACAGGCATTATTAACAACAAGGATTATTAATGATGGTGAGACAATAGAACAAACATTAGAAACAAGAATCCTGGTCTGGGTTCACATCCTTCTGGGGATTCAGTGATGGGACTGTGGGCACACTGAGATGGCTTATTTGTGGCTTGGCAGTGTACAGACTTTTACACATGCAGATGCTGGGGTCGGCATCTGCAACCAGAACTTTGTTCCTGGCTGGAAGATTCTCGAAGAGACTATGACATCCCAAGAATGGAATGGAGGGCTGGTAAAGTCATAACTTTACTGGAAAAAAACTAGGTTGAGCATCCTGAAATGCATACTTTGGCTTACTGAGCAGTACTTTCCATTATACAACAGCAATTACAAGATAACTATTAAGAGTTTTATGTAGCCCTTCAGATAATTGGCTTTTGTTCTTGGTTTGTTTTTTTTAAGTGTCTCAAATTTATTTATTGACTATTTTTTGGATAAGTGCTTCTCAAATTTAATTTTTTTTAGATATTTAAATGTAGTACTTTTTTCTTACATCACTGGACAATATATGATTTCTCCTCTCAGGTGCGATCACCGTGGTTCTCCCACCACCGAAGCACCCATAGGCCATCACTGTAGTCCCTTGTGCTCTTCCCCTGTACAGTTCTGTGCTTTTCTGTCAGTGCCCTCACAATAGTCCTGTTATTAGAGCAGATATCGTCATCTTCCCATCACCCAGAAAGTTACCCCAGAGAGAAATTCAGTGACTTATCGGAGCCATTCATTCTTACACTCTGCCATCATCCTTCAGATGTTTGGGGATTCTGAAAACCTGGGGCCCTGAAGAAGGCGTTATCTCAGTTAAATAAGATTAGCTATATTGAAAACAATGTTGGAAGATACGAACTCTGTTTTCAGAGATGAATAAATAACTAGTCTCAGTTTTTTTAATTTAATTAATTTATTTTTTATAGATTTATTTATTTATTTATACAAGCACTGGGTACAGTCAGAAGCACGGGAGGATGAGAGAATTCACCAGAGCCAGAGCAGGGGACAAAACAGGCAAACTGACGAAATACACTGGTGAGGGGAGCAGCGGATGTGGCAGGAGAGATCTGCGTGCCATGTGGGACCCTTGCTGGCTGCCAGGGATCGAACCGGCGCTGCAGAGGCTGCAGGCAGCTTCGCAGCCCAGCGCTCAATCACTGCGCCACCAGAGGAGGCCCAGTTCTTTTTTTTTTCCAAAGATGCATTTATTTATGCATATAAGAACTGGGGTACAGGCCAGGGATGGGGGTGCGTGTGAAAGAATTCACAAGAGACAGAGTGGGGAGCAGAGCAGGCAGACTGACTGAAATATACTGCTGAGGGGAGCAGCGGGCAAGACAGGAGAAGTCTGCTGCACCATGAGGGTAGCTCCCTGGCCAGTCAGGGGTCGAACTCATGCTGCAGTGGCTGTGGACAGCCCCACAGAGCTGTGCCCAGCCCCTTGCGCTACAAGGGAGGCCCCACTAGTCTCAATTCTATGACAAAGCTTGGCAAGGGTGCAAAAAGACCCTAGTAAAGAACATTGTAGGTGTGAGCCAAGAAAAGGTCTACGTTTGGAGCATTAGTGCCATGGAAGCTCCAGATGACACTAGTTAATGATGTGCAGTTCTATGGAAGAAAACTTCTTGAGGCCCTTAACCCCTTTAAACTTTTTTAAACATTGGTTTATTGTTTTAAATATTGATTTCAAAAGTATAAAACATATGGATGAATCAGGCAAGGAAGATAAGTGATCATAGTCTCAGAACAAACTAATAGTACAGCATTAGCGTTAGTGGGACTGGATTTCAGTCTTGAGTGAATGGGAGACCTTGGCCAGTCACGAAACTTCTCTGAACTTCAATGTCCTCCTTTTTGCAGTGATGTTTATGACAAATACCTCTTTTCATTACCATGAGGGCTACATAAAATCAAGAGCAGAGTTCATTCTTGTATTTACCTCAATAGATAGGGTAGTATCTACCAGGTACTCAATAAAGGCTTAGTGAATCAACTAAATAAAATATGAAAGTGATCTTCAATTGTGAGTTCTTGGGCAAACACTAGAATCTACAGACTTCCTTGACTAGGTGTAGCTATAAATGTATAGCCCATATTTCTACAGTATCTCTGGATTTCTAGCATCTGACCTACCCATCTTCTCTTCTAGGGAAAATGATACAAGAATTGGAAAAAACCATGAGGGAAATCGTACACCCCAATTCTGAATCTCCTACTTTCACCACCTGAACATAGAAATAATTCTTCAGAGATCATCTTATTTACTAGAGAAACAATCACATAGCAGTTGGGGGAATGGACTCACTGACTTTCAGTCTTTTCCATCTATTTCCTTCTAGATTCCTCCTAGAATCCAGCGGCATCTAAACCCAGTGTACACTTTGGAAACCTCCTGATCAAAATATTGTCTGTTCAAATGGTTGTTCAATAAAAGTAAACTGAGCAGAACATTGTTTCTGGAATTTCTTTGTCACTACCTCAATAAGAGCAGCTTATTTTTTACAGAAATTGAATAAATACCCTTTTGGCTTGTTAAGTCCATGGGCAGACAATGAATGCACACTTTTTTTCTGCTTTAAGTTGCTGTCAAGGTAGGAACGGAAAGTCTGGGGGAGAGGTAGGGAGACATGTGCTCCCAGGCACCAATAGCTGTAGAAAGCCAAACCAGCTACAGTTGAACCTCACCTGTACCACCTGCTACCTTCCCAGCTCCATCATCTGCTTTGTGGATTCCCATGAATACACCATTCAGTTACATATGCCTTATCCAGTGACATAAGTCAGTCATCTCTCAGACCCAATCTTATTGCCTCAATGAGTCCCTATATCAGGGCCTTGCACCTGTAAGAAGAGTAAGGAAATGAGAGTGGGCAAGTCTCTAGAGCACCACTGTCTAGTAGAAATATAATAGCAGTGGGGCCTCCCTAATACTGTTCTCAGTCCTAAAACTGTTCTCAGAGTCTTGCTCCTACTGTCCCTTCTTACATTGTTCACCTGCAGAATCTGGGCCATTCCAGGGGGAGTGTGGGAGTGTATGGAAAGTCCATCATGGTTCAGGTTGTTCTCAGCTGCAGAAAAAATGTGCCACATGGCAGGCCTCCTTGGTGTGGCAAGGTAATTTATAATTTTTCCTCTGCTTTTTTTTTTCTCTTAGGAATGTTATCACTAGGCCCATTGTGCAGGATTTTGTCCCCTCTGTCCTTTGTAACTGAGTGAAAATAAATCACGCCCTATGATGTGTTTTTTTTTTTCTCCATGTTATTATTTAGACAAGAGAAAGAAAGAAGGTTTGTGAATAGTCCTCAAGCATGAAAATACAGGGTCACTTCAAGGAGAAAAAAAGTGAGAAAACAGTGTTGTTATCTTCTTAAGCAACTCCAGGATGTGCTGAAAGGTTTCAGAGATTCTGTAATATGAGTTTGTATCTCCTTGGTCATTTCTAGGATATCCAGAAACTTCTATATTCTGATGAAGACGTGATTTTTTTGAGTAGTTGCATTTTGAACATTTTATTGAGATTTAAGCAGCATACCAACTACACTTCTCTCACTATCATTTTAATTGTGATTATGATTTTAAGGTAATAGGCACAAAGGGCTTTGTTATTCTAACCTTAAGATTTAACCAACTCTTTGTAATCATACCACGCACCTAAAGAATGTGCTTTTTTGGGCCTCCCTGGTGGCTCAAGGGGTTAAGCACAGCATTATGAAGGAATCCGCAGCCACTGCAGCACGAGTTCAATCCCCGACCAGGTAGCTACCCACATGGTGCTGCAGACCTCTCCTGGCTCATCCTCTGCTCCCCTCAGCAATGTGTTTCAGTAGATCTGCCTGTTCTGCTCCCCACTCTGTCTCTGGTGAATCCTTTAACCCCCCGCACCTCTGGCCTGTACCCCAGTTCTTGTATGCATAAATAAATCAATCTATTTTTTTTTTTTAAAAAAAGAATGTACTAATTAGTCTTTTTCCTTGTCCCTTATTTAGGTTTTCTAAATTCCTGCTATGAGTGAGACCATTCGGTATTTTTCTTTTTCTTTCTTATTTCGCAGAGCATGATCCCTTCTAGCTTCATCCATGTTGAAAATAAAAATCAAAATCAACAAGCAACTATAAACCAGAGACACAATACGGAGTGGGGGCGGAGGGGCAGGGTGAGGAAGGATTAGGGTCAAAATAAGGGGGGATGCAATTGTATGGGGAATATAACCAAAATGAAAATGCATACATTGTGCAAAAATGAAAAATGATGTAAGAATTATATAAAATAAAATATATTTTTTTAAAAAATGCTTTTTAAGAATGGGGTGGGATGGAGTGGGGTGAGACATGGGATAAGTTCAGAGACCTAGTGAAGGTCGAAGGTAAAGAAGGGAATGCAAAAATCAGAAATGGGGTGAGGAACAAAGAAAACAGGATGGACTGCAGTCCCGGGGTAGGGGTAAAGAGTATGGATGAATGCATTGAACACATTTACATGAGATTCTTTTTTAAAGCTAAAAGTTAAAAATTTTTGGCTACAAACAAGGGGTGAATATAAAATGTTATCTATATCAAAATGGCCACAACAAAATAACTGCATTAAACATCAAGTAAACTAATGATTGAGTTTTTTCTTGAGTTCTATCATGAGGGATGAGAGGCAGAGGAAAACTAGACCCATCTCACTGAGGTGGAACAAAAGAAAGGAAAACTATTTCTGTCCTCTTCCTAGTCCCTACCTCAGGCTTACCCATTTCTCTATAACTGGTATTTCATATTCTGCTTTCGTAATAAGAATTTCCATGGATCGACTGCAGTCAAACTCCATATATTTTCTTTTATTCTTAACCATTTTCACTCATTAGTTTATTTTTATTTTTATTTTATTTTCTTATATCATTGCTCATTTTGGGGCAGTATTTGATCCCCCCCTCAGGTGTAGTCCCTATAGTTCTGCCCCCACCTCAGCACCCGTAATCCATCACCACAGTCCCTTGTGCTCTTCCCTTCCATGTTTTTTTTAAGATTTATTTATCTATGCATACAAGAACTGGGGTACAGGCCAGAGGTGGGGGGGCCATGAGAGGATTCACCAGAGACAGAGTGGGGTGTAGAACAGGCAGACTCACTGAAATACACTGCTGAGGGGAGCAGTGGACGAGTGAGGAGAGGTCTGCTGTGCTGTGTGGGTAGCTCCCTGGTCAGAGATCAAACTCGTGTTGCAGTAGCTGCAAATAGCTACATTGTGCTGACACTTAACCCCTTGCACCACCAGGGAGGCCCCCCTCACCTGTATTGACACCTCTCCTGACCCCTCCCCTGCTGTAGGCCTCAGATCTATGGTCAACTTGCCAGTTTTGAAATTTTCCTGACCCTTTGTTCGGTTTCTCTATATCCCTCATATAAGTGAAACCATCTCATAGTTGTCTTTTTCCTTCTGACTTACTTCGCTTAGCATCACCCCTTCCAGCTCCATCCATGTTGCCACAAACGGCATGAAACTCCTTATGTTTTCATTCAAGGAGACTGCCTGAAGGCTTCTTATCTCTTTCAAGATTTGAGAAGCACCCAAAGAGAGCACTTGTCTATATGGATAGTGAACATTTTTTTATAAAGTGCCAGATAGAAAATATTTAGGCTTTAAGGACATAGTTTCTCTGTCACAATCAACCAATGTTTTGTGAAACAAATGAATGTACATTATGTAAATAAATATATACAACTCTGTACCAATAAAGTTGTTTACCAGGAAATAGGTAGTGGTCTGGGTGTAACAGGTGCACTGTCATTCAGTAATGGGTATGAATCTGTCGCTTGTCCCTCTTTGTGACTCAGTTGTCTTTGCTGTTTTCTATATTCTAAAACACCCCATCACTCATTCTACAATTACGACACCAGAAATTCATAAATGTTGACATTTCTGAATATTTTTATGCATGCTTGAAATGGAGAAAAGCACCTGGCAAGACTCACATTTATATCCCAATCTAATTCTTTGTAATTGTAACTCTTGGTGATTGACAGAGGAAGGCCAGTCTCATATATTACACAGCATTTGGTAAATGAAATGAGTGTATTCTCAAATAACACTTCCTGTGGCCTTGGCCACCAAGGACTGATACCTGCTTCCCTCAGAGAGAAATCATACAGGACATGTTGTTCTTTCCCTGACACCATCCTGGCTCGCAGAGCTCTTTTTCTTTCCAGTGCTGAAATTAAAGTTCTATCTAAATAATAAGTGACTGTAGATCATTCTTCAAGCATGAAGAAAGAACAGAGAAAAGCTGTCAACTGAAGTTCAGTCCCTGGAAAACAACCAGACATTTGTCATCCTAGATGGAATTTCCATTTGATCATCTAATTCCTTCCAGATTATTTGGAAGGGTGATGTGCAGTCTTCTTTCAGGTCATTCTATACACTCTATCCTAAACTGTAACAGTACTTGTAACTACTCTTTTAAACTGATAGGCATCTTGCATTTTACCTTTTTGGTTTTCTTGAACTTTATTTCCTCTTTTTTTTCTCAGTGGACTTTTCCATGGACTTCCAAGAGATCTTCTTGCCTCATCCTTTACAGGTCTCTCTTTTTATAAATTTCCAAATGACCTCTTCAAAAAAAAGATCTTTTTAATTCCCTAGTTTAATTTCTTTGGAAACTACTAAGCAGTCACATTGCAAAAATTAGAAACTAGACAAACCTGAAATGCTGGTATTGTCTTCTCTCTCTTTTATCCTTCAGAGTTAATGACCAAATTGGATCAATGGTCTGGTTCAAACCATCTCTATCCTTTTACAACAGCTTTGTAAGTGATCTTCCGGGGCCTCCCTGGTGGTGAAGGGATTAAGTCTCAGCACTATGTAGCTATCTGATGCCATGGAGCTAACCCACATGGCACAGCAGACCTCTCCTGCCTTGCCTGCTGCTCCCCTCAGCAGTGTATTTCAGTCCATCTGCCTGTTCTGCTCCCCACTCTGTCTCTGGTGAATCCTCTTACCTCCCACCCCCCACACCTCTGGCCTGTACCCCACTTCTTGCATGCATAAATAAATACTAAAAAAATAAATATGTGCTCTTCTGGCTTTAGTCTTTACCCTTCCGTTGCATTCTCCACTGTAAGCAGAGTAATGAGCTAAAATCCAAAGTTGGTGGTATTAGCATAAACCTTTATGTGACTTTTCTAGGCATAAGATGAACCCCAAACTCCTCCTGATATCTAAGGCCTCTGTTCACCCCTCTACCCCTCAACTCCTGCATTGTCCTCTTTCCCTTCTAGCCTTGAGTAATTTTCTTGAACTTGTTCCTGCCTGTCCGTGCCTCTTAATATGGCCTCTCCACCCACGCCTGGCCTTGCCACTTTTCCTTCCATTTTACAAAGTCCATGTCTCCAAACTCTACACTAATTTATTCTCACCATATTACATGTGCAACCTTTTTCTAGAAGTTGTCCATGACCTT